ATAACAAAGGCTGTAGCTAAACCCACGTAAAATCGACTGGGACATGGATAGAAACTAGGATTTGAACAGAAGCTGCGTAAACAGAAGTAAAGCAGGGACTGAAAATCGCGACCTAAAATTTGACGGCGATCGACTCCTCGTGACTGGGATCCCATGTTAAACATCAATATACAAATTTATACTATTTCAGTGTTTCAAAATTTCATAAAACGGGTTTATAAGGATCGAAAATGGAAACAGCATAACCGGCTCCAACCAAAAACATATATACAAACAACGACTCAGACGCTAAATCGATACTCCGAAATAGAACAAATTCATCACAGCTGCAACAAGATTCAACTTATACAATAAACGAGAGTCCTGAAAGTCTACGAAAATCCACGAATAGCAACATATTAACGAATATAACTCAACTGACAAATCATCGAATTTCGATTAAATGAGCACGACAATAATCGAGTGATATACGAGCACGAATAAAATAACGAGAAGTTTTCGAAATAATTTACCCGTCTTTGAGAATTTACGAGAAATCTGAAAACGGGTCAGAACAAGACGGAGCGAACGGAGCCTCGACGAGACTCGAGACTCAAGCTATTGGACACAAGGGCTGGACACAGCCTGCTCGCGAACGGTCAGGTTCCTAACGACGAACGTCGAAGATGGCCGGAAGTGAAGGTCTCGCCGAAAAAAATGGCGATGGCATGCTGGTGTCTTGCGGACGGAGTTGCTGCCGCTGGATTGGACGGCGGCGTACAACGGTTGCTTTCGAAGGCTGATGGCTGCTGCTTCGATAAAAGACGTCGGCGATATAGCTGCAACTCGTTGGAAAATGGCGTGAAGTTTTGCAGCGGAAAATTTGCAGGTGCGGTATATTTTTTTTTTTAAAGCAGTATGCGAACAGAGTAAAGAGATGAGAGGTGAGGAGATGAAATATCTGAGTTATTCCTCCTCGGTCAGAATTTAAATGAGCTAATAGCGAGATAGGAGAAGAACGTGCGAGATATTCACGGGAATATCGTACCTGTTTTTTTGAACGCGAAGATAAGATATACTCAGTCTAGGGAAGATGAACGAATTGTGTGATTACTCTTCTTGGGCCAAGAAGTATTATTTCCTAATGGGCCAAGGAATAAACATTTGGAAAAGGCCCAAAATTTGATAAATCACAAATGGGGCTAAACTTAATCTCAGTTGGGCCGGAAATAAACGCGATATGAAGAATAAAACCGGGCATTATATACATATATATATATATATATTATATAATACACATGATGGTAATAATAATAATAATAACATTTATGCAAAAATAAATAATTCCAATTATTCATAAAAGAACTGGGCGGTACAGTCTACCCACCTTACAAAGAATTCCGTCCTCAGAATTCGAAAATAAAAACTAGAAAGCGATAACATACAAAAGGAACTCAGAACTCAAAGTTTGGATAACGCCTCCTAATATCGTCCTCCCTCTCCCAAGTCGCCTCAGTCTCATCGTGTCGGCTCCACTGCACATTCACTAAGCTCACTGCCCGGTTCCTCAGCTGGTGGACCTTCCGATCCAAGATGGCTGCCGGTACCTCCTCGTATGTAAGGTCTCGTTCGACCTGCAGCTCGCCGAAGTCCACCACATGATCAGGATTATGCACATACCTCCGAAGCATCGAGACATGGAACACGTCGTGCACACCCGACAAGTCTGGTGGTAAAGCTAGCTGATACGCCAAGTTCCCAACTCGATCAAGGATCTCAAACGGCCCGATACAGCGAGGTCTAAGTTTCCCCTTCTTCCCAAAGCGAATCACACCTCTCGTGGGTGAAACCTTCAAGAAGACATGATCTCCCACTACATGAACATGCTCTTGCCTCTTCCGGTCGGTATAGACCTTCTGCCTCTCCGGGGCAGACCTGATAGTCCTCTGGATCTCCTCAATAGTCGCTGCAATACTCTGGACAATATCCGGACCCGTAATCCTCCTCTCTCCAACCTCATCCCAATACAAAGAAGTCTGGACCTTACGTCCGTACGAAGCCTCGTACGGGGCCATCTTGATCGAAGAGTGGTAGCTATTTTTGTAGGTCAGCTCGACTAGCGGAAGGGCATACTCCCAAGTCAGGCTTCGGTCCAAGACCGCAGCTCTCAATATATCCTCCAAGTACTGGATCCTATGCTCCGACTGACCATCTATCTCGGGGTGAAAGGTTGTACTGAACTCCAACCTCGTCCCCATGGCTCGGTGCAACGTCCTCCAGAACTGGCATGTGAACTTGGAATCTCGATCAGAAACAATCTCCACGGGCACCCCATGAAGCTTAGCAATGTCCTTGACGAACAATTCGGCATAATCACTCGCCTTCATGGTCGTCCGGACTGGCAGAAAATGGGCAGACTTCGTAAGGCGATCCACTATCACCCAATCGAATCATGCCCGCCCCTCGACCTCAACAGTCCCACTAAGAAATCCATGGTGATGCACTCCTACTTCCATAGGGAACCTCAAGGGGCTAAAACAAACCTCTCGGTTTCTGGTGCTCAGCCTTCACTTTCTGACACACCAGGCACCCATCCACGAACGTCGCTACCTACCTTTTCATGCCTCGCAACCAAAAATATTTCCTCAGGTCCTGATACATCTTCGTGCTACAATGATGGATGGTGTACGGGTCTCCATTCACAGTTCCCACACTTTTGGGACACAAAGTCTACCCTCGAAGACCAAGGCCCCACCAGATGCGACTGCGAATCTACCAATTCTACCGGCTTCCGACAACTCTCTCATCTGACATAGAAAATGGTCATTTGGTTGCTCGGCGACTATCCTCTCTCGAAGAGTCGGTCCCACAACCAAAGAGGCCAACACGCCCCTGGCTGTCGAAGTCGACTCCACTGCCTCTAGCAGTAATCGCTTGAACTCCCGAAGAAGAACATCTTGCCTGAAGAATAGGCAAGAAAACTGGCCATAACTCCTCCGGCTAAGGGCATCGGCTACCACATTAGCCTTCCCAGAGTGATAGCTAGTGGTACAGTCGTAGTCCTTGACCAACTCCAACCACATACGTTGCCTCATGTTCAGCTCTTTCTGAGTGAAAATGTACTTTAGGCTCTTGTGGTCGGAAAAGATCTCACACTTGCCTCCATAGAGGTAGTGCCGCCAAATCTTCAAGGCATGGACAACTGCAGCTAACTCGAGATCATAAGTGGGGTAGTTCTGCTCGTGAGGCTTCAGCTGCCTCGAAGCATAGGCTACGACTCTCGCTTGCTGCATAAGGACACAACCCAAACCCATCTTAGAAGCATCACTATAGATGGAACTCCGAAGTAGGGTCGGGTATGGATAGGACAGGCACGGTAGTGAGTCTCCTCTTCAACTCCTAGAAACTCTCCTCGCACTGAGAACTCCAATCAAACCTCACGGCCTTCTACGTAAGGTTGGTCAGTGGCTGGGCTATCTTCGGGAAGCCCTCGATAAACCTCCTGTAGTATCCTGCTAACCCCAGGAAACTACGAACTTCTGCGGCACTTCTTGGGGTATCCCACTTACTCACTGCCTCAATCTTGTTGGGATCCACCTCAATTCCTCGAGCTGTCACAATGTGGCCAAGGAATGCCACGCGGTTCATCCAGAACTCGCACTTCGAGAACTTAGCATACAACTTCTCGCGGCGAAGAGTCTCCAGCACAATCCTCAGATGCTCCTTGTGCTGATCGATATCTCGGGAATAGACCAGAATGTCGTCGATGAACACAATGACGAACTGGTCCAGGAAAGGATGGAAGACCCTATTCATAAGGTCCATGAAAATGGTTGGGGCATTGCTGAGTCCGAACGGCATGACTACGAACTCATAGTGGCTATAGCGGGTGCAAAATGCAGTCTTAGAAATATCCAAGTCCCGGATCTTCAGCTGATGATAGCCAGAACGCAAGTCAATCTCTGAGAAGACGCTGGCTCCCCTCAGCTGGTCGAAAAGGTCCTCAATGCGGGGAAGGGGGTACTTGTTCTTGACTGTAAGGGCATTTAATTGACGATTGTCAATGCACCTGCGCATCGATCCATCTTTCTTCTTCACGAACAGGATGGGCACACCCCACAGCGAAACACTTGAATGGATAAAACCGAGCTTGAGCAACTCCTGGATCTGGGCCTTGAGCTCTTGAAGCTCTTTTGGCGCCATACGATAAGGGGCCTTAGAGACGGGGCCGACTTCTATAACTAGGTCAATGGTGAACTCCAACTGGCGGTCCAAAGGTCCTCTGGGCAAATCATCAGGAAAAACGTCGAGATACTCACAAACGATAGTCTCTCGGGTACTCGCTCATCAACAACATCGGAAACCAAGGAAACAAGATAGCCTTGACAGCTACCCTTGTAAAGGCTCTTCCTAGCTTTCATAGAAGAGATGACTCGAGGCACAGTCCTCGACTTCACCCCATAGAACACAACAGGCTGATCGGAGACGGGAAAGAGGGTGACTTCGCGCTCTTGGCACCAGATATCGGCTCGATAATGGGTGAGGCAGTCCATGCTCAAGATCACGTCAAAGTCTCGCATTTCAATAACATACACGTCGGCCTCTAGAACTCGACCACTAATACAAATAGTAAGGTTGTGAACCACTGAATCAGAGATAGTTTTTCCCGAGGCTAGACTAACCTCGAGAGGATCACAAGAACGCACAGAGCTAATAGATAAGGCCTCCAAACAACGAGAAGTGGTAAAAGAATGGGTAGCACCGGTATCACACAATGCAAAGACAGGCACGTTGGAGATAGAAAGCATTCCAGATATAGTACCTGTGTTGCGGGCGGCTCATCGTGGGTAATGGTATAGACACGGGCCTGACCCCAGCCCTCTGCTGGAATGGTGGGGGCTGCTGCTGCTGATGTGGTGGCGGTGGGGGAAGCTGCTGCTGCTGCTGCTTAGAGAACTGTTGTTGCCTCCTGGGCTCAGAACAGACAGTGGCATAGTGACCCGGTCGGTTGCAGTTGAAACAGGTTTGCTGGTCGGCTAAGCACTCGCCACTATGGTACTTGCCACATTTCTTGCAGGTTCGGTTGCCAGAAGAGGGATGATTGCGCCGGTCTGGACCCTTTCGCTTTCCCTTCCGATTATCCCGGTGGGAATCTGCCTTTCTCTTGCCCGAACTAGATCCGGGCGGCGCGGAGGAAATGGGCTGGCCATGCTGAACAGTAGTCTAAGAAGGCTGGGAGGCATGATAATATGAAGGGACTGGAGCTATCGGAATGAGACAGCTCTCTACCTCCTGAGCCCGACTCACAGTGTCGGCGAAAGACATCAGTCCGTGACTCCCCACCAGTTCACGGATCCTGTAATTGAGCCCCTTGAGAAACTTGCGGGCCTTCTTGGCATCGGTATTCACTGAGTTGCCCGCATAAAGGGACATCCAGGTGAAAGTGAGAATATACTCGTCCACAGTGGAGCTGCCCTGCTGCAAATGGTAGAAATCATGCTCCATCCTATCCCAACATCTCTGGGGAAGGAACTGGCCACGCACCATCTTCATCTGCTCCCAAGTGAGAGCATGAAGCTCTGCCTCTGGTCTCCGGGCCCAGTGGTCAATCCACCAGTCAGAAGCGTCCTCCTTTATCTGATAATCTGCGAGTGATACACACTGTCAGTCCAGGAGGGGGAGTACAACGAAAATCTTGTCCAACTCATTGATCCACTCCAGTACCGTTGTGGGGTTCTCAGTCCCCGCGAAAGTCAGTGCATTCATCCTCTGAAACTGGACTATGAGCTGAGTAAGGTCCATGGCCGGAGGGGCCTGGTGATGACGACGAGGCGGAGAAGGAGTCGGGGATGGCTGACGGTTACGGTTGTTGCGGGTATTCATGACTCTACATTGAATAAGCCGAACAAGGTTTAGCAAAAAACAAAACGAAATAATCATAATTACTGAAGTATAAAGTTCGCCAATAAACACTAGAGTTCGATTAAATCAAGGTGGATAGATCCTAAGCCCCAAAAATAAAAATTACACCACAAGTAGTTTCATTGCCACAAGTGTACCATTTACATATCAAGTATTTTCATTAATACTTAAACAAAACATACCTTATGCAGGGCGGAGTGACGGAGACGAGTGGTCATATTACAAGGTCCTAAACACATAATCACATATGTGTCAGTCTACATAAATGTAGACTGGCTCTGATACCAAACTGTAACACCCCACTTTGATTTTAAAGAAATTCTGGACTTTCTAAAAATCAGTAATTAATTTTTCGTACACGTTTTCGAAAACATGGGCGTTATTCAAACATTTAACATAAACCAAGTCATATCTGGTTGTTCACATGGTTTTCATTAACCTTTAAAACATCCATTTCACATGATTTTTAGCTAAACATTATAGCATGCATAATCGAACACATGATATTCAAGAAATAATTTCAGTACGAATATCCAAACGAAACATTTGTCCAATAATTCCAATAATAAGTTTTGGAAACAGTTCAAGGCATCTCAACCAAAAGAGGTTCAGAAGGACCACACTGTATTCAATAATGGAAGCATAATCATAAAACATAAGTCAATACCGACCCACTCGCCTTCCCTCGTTACCCAGCACCTGCTTAACCTGCATCCGTGAAGAGCAGGTGGGGATGAGCACAAGATGAAAATGAGTGCTCACCACTATGCACATATATAACAATAACTTGTCAAGATGGTAAGGTCGCAGCATGAATATAAGATAATCACATCATGTCTCATCTCCTATCAAAATCACAACAATTCACATTACTCTTGTGCACGTCTATCGCTAGCCGTAGAATGGAGATTCATTACCCGAAGGCGGGAGTACATGCCACGCTACGGACACAGCCTTCCATATGGGCTTACGTACCTCGTAAGGGCACGACCATATCAGGACTTAAGGAGACTTGCCTCACAAGGGCAACCGTATTACATCGACGGGGACAACCGTACCGACGGTCGTAACAGCTTACATCGATAGGCTACATATTTCACATTCATACATAGATCATACCGACTCAACATAAACGAAACACATATACGGCATAAAAAATTTATAAGTAAACCAACCTGGAAATTGTTGTAGAATATTGCACACAATAGCAAGTACGTAGGATGAGGCTCGACTCTTCAAACACCTACATTTAAGCGAGATAATTTATCAATAATCTATCTCACTACTGGAATTTAACATAAAACCAATACTTAATAAAAATTAAGACTTAAGTTTTTAAATCGAATTTTTCGTGGACTTGAAACTCTCTCATTTTGAAAATAGGACTCGGGAACCAAAATTAGAGTCTTGGGGCTTAAAATAATTTTTTCACAACTTTTTTTTTTTTGAAAATATTTTTTTTAAAATAAAAAACAGTACGAAAAACGGACTTCAAAACACAAAAATTGACTTTAAAAGGCGAATTGGGCTAATATGACAAAAGTGGGCCAAAAATGCCCAAAGTATTTGGGCCTACATGTTCAAAGGCTGCAAATCCGCGGCCATCTCTGGGCTTACACGCGGGTCGCTACTGGGGAGAGGGACGGGCTTCGCGCGGGCTGAGAATGCGGGCTGGACAGCCCGCGCAAATCTCCTGCAAGTGGGCTGGAAAAAAAAAATAAATAAAGGAAGGGGTCCTCAAGAGCTGGGTTCGATCCCAATACTTCAATCACAGATATTGGCATCCAAACCAACGCGCCACACGCCTCGTTGCGTTTGCTACTGGAATAAAAATGATAACAAAGGCTGGAGCTAAACCCAAGTAAAATCGACTGGGACCTGGACAGAAACTGGGATTCAAAAAGAAGCTGCGTAAAAAGAAGTAAAGCAGGAGCTGAAAATCGCGACACAAAATTTGACGGCGATCGACTCCTCATGACTGGGATCCCATGTTAAACATCAATATACGAATTTATACTTTTTCAGAGTTTTGAAATTTCATAAAACAGGTTTATAAGGATCGAAAACGGAAACAACATAACCGGCTCCAACCGAACACATATATACAAACAATGACTCGGACGCAAAATCAATACTCCGAATTAGAACAAATTCATCACAGCTGCAACAAGACTCGACTATACAATAAACGAGTGTTCCGAAAGTCTACAAAAATCCACGAATAGCAACATATTAACGAATATAACTCAACCGACAAATCATCTAATTTCGGTTAAATGAGCATGACAATAATCGAGTGATATACAAGCACGAATAAAATAACGAGAAGTTTTCGAAATAATTTACCCGTATTCGAGAATTTACGAGAAATCTAAAAATGGGTCAGAACGAGACGGGGCGAACGGAGCCTCGACGGGACTCGGGACTCGAAAGCTATTGGACACAAGGGTTGGACACAGCCTGCTCGCGAATGGTCAGGTTCCTAACGACGAACGTCGAAGAGTGAAGGTCTCGCCGGAAAAAATGGCGATGGCGTACTGGTGTCTCGCGGACGGAGTTGCTGCTGCTGGATTGGACGGCGGCATACGTCGGTTGCTTTCGAAGGCTGATGGCTGCTGCTTTGATGAAGGACGTCGGCGATATGGCTGCAACTCGCCAAAAAATGGCGTGAAGTGTGCCTGTGTCAGAGCCCGTGTCACACCCCAGCATGCATGTTTTTTTCCGTTTTGCTCATTTCTTCCATTTTTCTCATCCGTGCATCGATATATCATCATCCCGGGAGTCTTAGGCACTCACCATGCTCCTCCAATAGCCAAAGCTCTACAAATATGTGAAAATATCTACAAAACAAGCACGTGTAATACCTTTCCAGCAAATATAGAATTAAAGCACAAATATGCAATTTATACACCAATAATGCAACAAATAAGCTCTAGATACTATATAAATATGGTGTAAAATCTCACATGAACAAGTGTTGCGGCGGAAATTGCAAGTGCGGTATAATTTTTTTTTTTTTGAAAGCAGTATGCGAACAGAGTAAAGAGATGAGAGGTGAAGAAATGAAATATCTGAGTTATTCCTCCTCGGTCAGAATTTAAATGAGCTAAAAGCAAGATAGGAGAAGAACTTACGAGATGCTAACGGGAATATCAACCCTGTTTTTTTTAACGCGAACATAAGATAGACTCTGTCTGGGGAAGATGAACGAATCGTGTGATTACTCTTCTTGGGCCAAGAAGTATTATTTCCTAATGGGCCAAGGAATAAACATATGGAAAAGACCCAAAAATTGATAAATCACAAATGGGGCTAAACTTAATCTCAGTTGGGCCGGAAAAAACGCGAGAAGAAGAATAAAACCGGGCATTATATACATATATATATATATATATATATATATATATATATATATTATAATACAGACAATGATAATAATAATAATAATAATAATAATAATAACAATAATAATAATAATAATAATAATAATAATAACATTTATGCGAAACTAAATCATTCCAATTATTCATAAAAGAACGGGGCGCTACATCTAGTGAATTTGTAGTCTTCATAAAAGTTATAGTTCTGTTGATTAGCTTTCTAATGAGATAGGGTTTTTATGCGGAGGTGATATCTATAGCTCGAGTTGTGTTAATATGATTGTAGATATACATGAAGTAGGGTTTTACACTTTGACAGATAACTGATTTTAAATATTAGTAGATTTTACACCATATAAAAGACCTTATCTGCTTTAGTGTTCTAAATGTAAGTTGTAGGGATATATCTTAGCTTCCTAAGAATATAAGAATCATGTAATTTAGAGGTCTGTAGCATGATTAAGAGGTTAAATACAGAGGTACTGTTTATATCAAATTTTAGTCTTTGGCAGATTTGTTGAATCAAATGTTTTGTGTCCAAACTCATTTATAAAGTGATTGTTTGCAAAAGTGGTCTTCAGAAAAGTTGTAGACATTTGAGTTAGCTATCACATGATTTTAGAATCTCATTAAAAACATGTCTGTAGCTCCAGTTATCTAGTAAATATTGAAGTCTGGTCGGTTACAAGTTCTCGATTTTTTTACGACAACTCAGTTTTGAATGTTTGATGATTTATTTCCTAGTAAAAGACCTTATTTGCTTTAGGTGTATTCATAAGAACTATAGGTGCATGTATTAGAATTCCAGTGCAACTTGAATCATATTCATCCGAGTTTTGTACTGAAAGTTATGTTGATATCAAAAATGTTGATCGGGTTAAGTTTTGAAAAAAAAAACGTAAGTGGTACTTTTGGAAATGGGATTTCCTTGATTAAATGCTAATGTGAGCTTAGTTGGACTAAGTAATTATAATGATTAGTTGTTAAAGTGTGGAATATTCATTTATAGGACTATTTTAATAAATGTAGGTGCTTGACGAGCCGAGCTCGCCGCCTACCCGTTATTGTTTTGCTTTCGCTTGTTATCGTCCAGGTGGGTTTACTTATAAAGTTGAATATGCCATACGCGTTTATTAATGTTTAGTTGGTATGACCAATATATGAATGTGTAACATGTGGCCTACTGATGTGAGTTGTTACGGCCGTCAGTTCGGTTGTCCCCGTCAAGTTACGGTATGGTTGCCCTTGCGAGGCAAGTCTCCTTAAGACCTAATGAAAGGCCGTGTCCGTTACAGTGGCACGCACTCCCGTCGTTAGGGTTTATGCATCCCTTTTCCGCGGCTAATGATAGATGTGCACATGACTGAGTTATTGTTGTGATTATTAGGAGATGAGACATGATGATGATTGATTTATATTCATGCTGCGACCATACCATCTTTACATGTTATTATGTGCATAGTAGGAGCACTACTTTATCATTTGTGCTCATTCCCACCTGCTCTTCACGGATGTAGGTTAAGCAGCTGGCGAGTGACGAAGTGAGATGAGTGGGTGGTCCCTAGTTATTTTATTGCTACCGTATTATCATGATCTATGCTGAGACTTGTTGAAAATCCGTTTCGAACTTATGTTTTGGTTTATGTTGGAGTTGAATTACTCTTAATGTTTGGATTTATGAAATTTCAATTTATGCATGCTTTACGATTAAAGCTGAGTATTATGTTATGTGTTGAGAAACGGTTAAGGAAAACCATTTGTGAAAAATCGGGTTCATGAATCCCCATGGGTCCAGATAAGACTTGGACTAAGTAAATTGTTGTTTAACACCCATGAATATTTGAAAATGTTTTCAAAAATTGTTTACTTGATTTTTGGAAAGCCCGGGATTTCAATAAAATCAAAGTGGGGTGTTACAGTATGGTATCAGAGACAGTCTGTGTTTCTGTAGACTGGTTTATATGTGATTATGTGATTTTGATCTTGTGTTGACCACTCGTCTCCGTCATGCCGCTCTGTCTTAAGGTATGTTTTATTTAAGTATTAATGAGAATACTTGCATAATGGATTGTGCATTCTTGTAGCAATGAAACTACTCGAATTGTAACTTCTTGTTAATCTTAGGGCAAGGAACTATTCACCTTTACATTTGAACTCTAGTATTTAATTGGCGAACTCTAGCTTCCCTTATTATTGTTGTGCTAAACCTTTCGGTCTATTCAATGTAGAACTATGGTTCGTCAACCCCGTAACAACCACAACAACGGGCAACTAACCCCACCTCTGTCTCCGCCTCTATCTCCTAATCATCACCAGGCCCCTCCGGCCATGGACCTTACGCGGCTCATAGTCCAGTTTCAGAGAATGAATGCACCGACTTTCTCGGGGACTGAGAACCCCATTGCGGTATTGGAATGGATCAAAGAGCTGGATAAGATTTTCGTTGTGCTCCCTCTCTCGGACCGACAACGTGTATCTCTCGCAGCTTACCAGATGAAGGAGGACGCTTCCGACTGGTGGATTGACCATTGGGCTCGGAGGCCAGAGGCGGAGCTTAATGCTCTCACTTGGGAGCAGATGAGATGATGGTGCATGGCAAGTTCCTTCCCCAAAGTTTTTGGGATCGGATGGAGCATGAGTTCTACCATCTGCAGTATGGCAGCTCCACCGTGGACGAATATATTCGCACTTTCACCCGGATGTGTCTTTTTGCTGGCGACTCGGTGAATACTGATGCTAAGATGGCCCGCAAATTCCTTAAGGGGCTCAGAGGATCCGTGAACTGCTAGGGAGTCACGGACTGATGTCTTACGCCGACACTGTGAGTCAGGCTCAAGAGGTGGAGAGTTGTCTCATCCCTATGACTCAAGTCCCCTCCTATTATCATGCTTCTCAGCCAGCTCAGACTTCTATTCAGTACGCTCAGCCCATCTCATCTGTGCCGCCCGACTCTAGCTCGAGCAAGAGGAAGTCCAATTTCCAGAACATGAAGAAGGGAAAGAAAGGGAATTTCGGCAGGCGTGACGACCGACCTACTCAGGGTTAACTGCCGAGATGCCCAAATGCGGTAGGTTCCACACTGGAGAGTGCTTAGTAGACTAGCGAGCTTGTTACAACTGCAACTGTCCGGGTCACTATGCTAGTGTCTGCACTGAACCAAAGAGACAGCAGCAGCAGCAGCCCTTTCCCCAGCAGCGGCAGCAGCAGCTTCCCCCACCACCACCTCCTCATCAGCAGCAGCATCCCCCACCATTCCAGCAGAGAGCTGGGGGTCAGGCCCGCGTCTATACTATTACCCACGATGAGGCCGCCCGCAATGCAGGTACTATGTATGGAATGCTTTCTATCTCCAATGTGCCTATCTTTGCATTGTGTGATACCGGTGCTACTCATTCTTTTATCTCCTCACGATGCCTTGAGGCACTATCTGTTGATAATTTGAGCAAAGTCGATCCTCTTGAGGTCAGGCTAGCCTCAGGAAAGATTATTATTTCTGGTTCTATAGTCCGTAATCTTCCTATTAATATTGGTGGACGAATTTTGGAGGCCGACATGTATGTTATTGAAATGCGGGACTTCGATGTGATCGTGGGCATGGACTTGCTCACCTGCTATCGAGCCGACATTCGGTGCCAGGATCGCGAAGTTGCACTCTTTCCCGATTTCGATCAGCCTGTAGTATTCTATGGGGTGAAGTCCAGGACTGTGCCTCGAGTCATCTCTTCTATGCAAGCTACAAAGAGCCTTTCCAAGGGTAGCTGTCAAGGCTATCTCTTTTCTATGGTGTCCGAGGATGATTCCGAGTGGACTCCGAAGCGAGTTTCTATTGTTTGTGAGTATCTCGATGTTTTTTCTGATGAGCTGCCTGGAGGACCACCCGACCGCCAAGTCGAGTTCACCATTGACTTAGTCTCGGGAGCTGGTCCCGTGTCTAAGGCCCCTTACCGTATGGCGCTGAAGGGGCTTCAAGATCTCAAGGCCCAGATCCAGGAGCTGCTCAAGCTCGGTGTCATTCGACCGAGTGTTTCACCGTGGGGAGCGCTCGTCTTATTCGTGAAGAAGAAAGATGGATCCATGCGCATGTGCATTGACGATCGGGAGTTGAATTCCCTTACAGTCAAGAACAAGTACCCCGTTCCTTGTATTGAGGACCTTTTCGCAGCTTAGGGGAGCCAGCGTGCTCTCAAAGATTAACTTGCATTCTGGCTATCATCAGTTGATATCCGAGAGTCGGATATTTCTAAGAAAACGTTCTGAACCAGATATGGCCACTATGAGTTTGTGGTGATGTCGTTTGTACTTACCAATGCTCTGGCGGTGTTCATGGACCTAATGAATACAGTCTTTCATCCTTATCTGGACCAGTTTGTTATCGTGTTCATCGACGACATCCTGGTTTATTCACGAGACATCAGCTAGCACAAGGAGCATCTGAGAACTGTGCTGGAGACCCTTCGCCACGAGAAGCTGTATGCAAAGTTCTCAAAGTGAGAGTTCTGGCTAGACCGTGTGGCATTCCTTGGCCACATTGTGAGGGATAAAGGCATCGAGGTGGATCCCGGCAAGATCGAGGCAGTGAGCAGGTGGGATACACCAAGAAGTGCCGCTGATGTTCGTAGTTTCCCGGGGTTAGCAGGATACTACATGAGGTTCATCGAGGGCTTCTCGAAGATAGCCCAACCACTAACCAACCTTACAAAGAAGGCCGTGAGGTGTGATTGGAGTTCGAAGTGCGAGGAGAGTTTCCAGGAGTTGAAGAGGAGACTGACCACCGCGCCCATTTTGGCCATACCCGACCCTACTTTGGAGTTCACAATCTACAGTGATGCTTCTAAAATGGGCTTAGGTTGTGTTCTCATGCAACAGGGGAAAGTCATAGCCTATGCTTCGAGGCAGTTAAAGCCTCACGAGCAGAACTACCCCACACATGACTTAGAGTTAGCCGCAGTGGTTCACGCTTTGAAGAACTGGAGGCATTACCTTTACGGAGGGAAGTGCAAGATTTTCACGGACCATAAGAGCCTGAAGTACATCTTCACTCAGAAGGAGCTGAATATGCGGCAGCGTAGGTGGTTGGAGCTGGTCAAGGATTATGACTGCACCATTAGCTACCATCCTGGGAAAGCTAATGTGGTAGCCGATGGCCTTAGTCGGAGGAGTTATGGCCAGCTGTCTTGCCTATTCACTGAGCAAGATGTCTTACTTTGGGAGTTTGAACGGATACAGCTAGAGGCCGTAGAGCCGACTTCGATGGCCGGTGGTATGTTGACCACTTTGGTCGTGGGACCAACTCGTCGGGAGAGAATAGTCGCTGAGCAGTCGAATGATTGTTTTCTGTGCCGAATGAGGGATATGGCGTCTAGCGATCAGATAGGTGGTTTCGCAAGCGCAACCGACGGAGCATTACTCTTCGAGGGTAGACTTTGTGTTCTGAAGATGTGGGAACTTCGAAGGGAGATTTTAAGGGAGGCCCATGGTGCCCCGTACACCATCCATCCTGGTAGCACAAAGATGTATCAGGACTTGAGGAAGTCTTTCTGGTGGTGAGGCATGAAGAGGCAGGTAGCGAAGTTCGTGGATGGGTGCCTGGTATGTCAGCAAGTGAAGGCTGAGCACCAGAAACCGAGAGGATTGTTGCAGCCCCTTGAGGTTCCCCTATGGAAGTGGGAGTGCATCACCATGGATTTATTGGTGGGATTGCCGAGGTCGCAGGCCGGACATGATTCGATTTGGGTGATAGTGGATTGCCTTACGAAGTCTGCCCATTTTCTGCCAGTCCGGATGACCATGAAGGCGAGTGATTACGCCGAATTGTTCGTCAAGGACATTGTGAAGCTTCATGGGGTGCCCGTGGAGATTGTTTTTGATCGAGATCCTAAGTTCACATGCCAGTTCGGGAGGACGTTGCACCGAGCCATGGGGACGAGATTAGAGTTTAGTATAGCCTTTCACCCCGAGATAGATGGTCAGTCGGAGCGTACGATCCAGTACTTGGAGGATATATTGAGGGTTGTGGTCTTGGACCGGAGCCTAACTTGGGAGTATGCCCTTCCGCTAGTCGAGCTGACCTACAACAATAGTTACCACTCTTCGATCAAGATGGCCCCGTATAAGGCTTTGCACGGACGTAAGGTCTGGACTCCTTTGTATTGGGACGAAGTTGGAGAGAGGAAGATTATGTGTTCGGAGTTTGTCCAGAGTACTTCGGCAACAGTTGAAGAGATTCAGAAGACCATCAGGTCTGCCTAAGAGAGGCAGAAGGTCTATACAAACCGGAAGAGGCAAGAGCATGTTTATGCAGTGGGAGATCATGTCTGCTTGAAGGTTTCACCCATGAGAGGTGTGATTCACTTCGAGAAGAAGGGGAAACTTAGACCTCGCTATATCGGGCCATTTTAGATCCTCGATCGAGTCGGTAACTTGGCGTATCGGCTGGCTTTACCACCAGACTTGTCGGGTGTGCACGACGTGTTCCATGTCTCGATGCTTCGGAGGTATGTGCATAATCCTGATCATGTGGTGGACTTCGGTGAGCTGCAGGTTGAGCGAGACCTTACTTACGAGGAGGTACCGACAACCATTTTGGACCGGAAGGTCCATCAGCTGAGGAACCGGGCAATGAGTTTAGTGAAGGTGCGGTGGAGTCGACACGATGAATCTGAGGCGACTTGGGAGAAGGAGGAAAATATTAGGAGGCGTTATCCGAACTTTATATTTTGAGTTCCCCTTGATATATTTTTAGTGCCCTCTAGTTGCTTTATTTTCGAATTCCGAGGGCGGAATTCCTTTTAAGATGGGTAGATTGTAGCGCCCCATTCGAATATTAGATTTTTTATGAGTTTATTTTAATTAATGGTATTTTATTTTAATATTTATATATACCTTGATTATGTGATTATATATTTTATTATTATATGGATACTATGGTTTTATATATAGCTCGGTCGATTTTATTTTATAATTGTCGTTTGAATTTTCGGTTTAATCGCGTAAGCTGAATTGTTGTTCGTTTGAATTCGTTTTAGAACCGTTGCGACCCGAACATCAAAACGAATTAACAAGACAATAAGACTATTACATTACCATATCTTTAATAGTATTTTTATCCATAAAAACCGAATTAGAAGAGGAAAAAATTGATTGTAGTCAAATTCTTCGGTTTCCAATTATTGTCGGATTTTAAGTCTGATTTTGGTTCCGTAAAATTTATTTTCTTCCCAATCCTTTTAGTAGGCATCAAAACCAAACTAAATAAGTTTGGTTCAACCATTGTAAGTACCAAAACTGAATCCATACTCATGCATGAGTTAGAGAACCATGTTACTCTCTTTTGGCATCATGTGTTTGTAAAATATTAGTTTTAGGTTTAGATGGGATCTAGATCTTATGTCCCCTCTTATAATGTTCTTGTGTTTCATTCCTTAGCTGTATTAGATCATTAAATACCTGAATAACTTGAGAAAATAGAGAGAAAATCGGATTATAAGCAAGATAGGGAGAGAAGTTGAAGAACCGAGCAACACCTCTTTCATTTCTCCACATTTTTGTTTTCTTGAAGGAGGTAAGGTTCCTCTGTTAAGACTTCAAGCAATTGTTTTCTGAAAATTTGTTCTTCATGTGAAATATATATCATCTTGTTAGCTTTCTC